AGGAGACAACAGATGGCAAGGCAAGGTTTTCAAAGATATATAATAGGACATTTCCTTAGTAAGAAAGAACATGCATCAAATAGGAAAAATTGACACTGGATTATCAACATTGAAATGTGTTGCTGAGTATTAACAAGAGAGAATTGTTTAGATATCAAGCATGAAAAAGATACTTTAAAACAGGAAAGAAATCTAGCTTGCATCACGTCATTTTCATTTTTATTTTTTTGGTCTTGTGAGACAGGATCTCACTTTGTAGTACAGGATGGCCTGGAGCTCTCTGAATTCCTGCCTATGCCTGTATTCTATCAGAAACACATAGTTCTGGAAGAAATGCAGCTGCCTAGTATATTCTTAGACAAAATATTACGACCATTGTTGTGGTTTGAATGTGAAATGGCCTTTATAAGGCCCATATGTCTGAAAATTTGGTCACCAGTTGGAAGGTATGGAACACTTAGGGGGTGGAGCCTCCCTAGAGGAAGTGAGTCACTACAGTTGAGCCTCGAGGTTTTATAGCATGGGACCATTTCCTTATTCCAGTCCAGTCCATAGTGTCAATGTAACTAGCTACCTCATGCTCAGGGTGCCATGTCTTCACCACCATAAAGGACTATATGCCAAAATAAACCCTTCATATCTTAAGTTGCTTCTTGTCAGGTATTTGGTCCTAGCAAAAAGAAAAGAAATACATCCCTATGTTATCCAAACATAAAGGATTTGGGAGTGGGAAGGGGATGGGTGAAGAGGAGGGGGGAGAGAGAGACACCAAAGTTCTTGTCAAGTGAAGTTTTGCTAATCAAGTAACTAATTTTAAAAAATCAGAGAATAGAGAAATGCAGAAATTATGGGAATTATTTGGCAGTGTAGCACAGTATTGATCCAGGGGCTAACTATCAGAGTATACCCACTTAAATGCTGTTGCATTGGTAGAACAGAGGACAAGGGAATGATACACAGGGTAACTGACACCTGGGACTTGAAGGATGAGAACTCAAAAGAAGAAAGTGACTGCTGAACTCAGTCTTACAGGGTTCCTGATTCATGGAAGAGTCTACCAGACTTTCTGCAGGACACAGAAAAATGACTGACAGACTGCCAGTGCAGATGGACAGTTTGAAATTTCCTGCTTTCCTGAGAAATCTTCTGGACACATTGTGGCCTATGGGCTGAAGATGGATGCCCCAACGTTACAGAGGAACTTTGGGTGACTGTCCAGGTAGTAAGATGTCTCTGTCAATCCTAGTGTTTATATATTATCCTTCTGTGGTCTTTGATGGAGTTGAAGACAGATAGTTATAATTATAGTTTTCCTTAGTTATGATAAAAGATAAGCTACATATAGGACTTTGGACTCACAAGGATGGGATGGATGATATTTTCTTTAAATCTTGCTAAAATATTGTAACTATGTTCTTACTTGATAACTGTTCTGTCATATACAATTTGACTATGTTAAAATTAAGACCTTTCTTTTGTTTAAACAGAAAAGAGGAGATGTTGGGGAAGTCCTGTTATTTGCCTGTGCATTTGTCAATAAAGTACTGTCTGGCCAATAGAAAACCTAGATAGGAGGGACTAGGAGTCGAGGAGGATTCTGGGAAGGGGAAACACAAGAGAGTCAACATGTGACGCCATGGGGGTAGGACGCCGGGAACTATTCTCCGGTAAGAAACATACTTAGATTAACAATTATGGGGTAATTACTTAAGGCAGAGCTAGCCAGTAAGAGACAAATAAGGCCACTTACGTGGCATTTGTGAACTGCTAGTTAGGTTCAGTTCTTAGTGCTTGAAGGAGACACCCCCCCAACCTCTCCCCTCCCCAACCCTGGATTAGGCACAAACCACATCAAACACCTGTTTTCACAGAGATATCCTTCGTTAAGCGGGGAAGAAAGCTGAAGTGACTGCTTTCTGACTCGGTCAGAAAGCTGCAGCAAATGGTCTTGCAGGTGTAATTTTTAAGAGGAGGAGAAGGGGAGGTCTGTGTTAGAATGGGCTAGGATGTAGTGGTAAAGGAGACAGGGGACAGGGGAGAAAGGGGCAGGAGAGCAGAGGACTGACTCTGGACAAAGAGGAGACACATGTGCCACACAGGCAAGTGGCGGCTTATAAAGGAACAACCCATTTTAGGGTGAGGTGTTTAACTTTAATTGGGCATGTTTAATGGGTGAACTAAAAGGAGCTTATGATTGCCAGACTTTAGTACTTTGATCGCTGGACTTTGGTAGTCAGCCTCAGGAGGAGGAAGTGGCCCAATAAGGGAATAGACTTTGGGGACTAGCTTTAGGAATGTCATCTGGTGGTTTTTAACAAGGCAGAGGGGAGGGGAGAGAAGGGCAAGGCCTGCCAGAGCCACATGCTCCAGTAGGCTAGTGTCTCTTCAGTGCTTCCAAAAATTAAGAGTGTATATCTCATTCAGGTGGTAGTGGCACACACCTTTAACCCCAGTGCTTGGGAGGCAGAGGCAGGTGGATCTCTGAGTTCAAGGCCAGCCTGGTCTACAGAGTGAGTTCCAGGACAGCCAGAGTTACACAGAGAAACCCTATCTTAAAAACAAAACAAAACAAAACAACAACAAAAAGAGTATATAATTGTAGGGGTGAGCCCACCCATATTGCATTGACCTCCCTCATCAGTAAATATGCTAAATATTTTAACTATGAAATAGTACAAACCTCATAGACACAAAGAAGCTTTCAGAGGCAATGGGTATATTTGGTACTTTGACTGTGGTGTTGGTAGTACAGGTGTGTATGTACATGACTGCTCATGGGATTGTATGCATTCTACATCTACCAGTTTTCACCTTCCTTCCTCCCACCCCCTCCTTATCTTCTTCTTCTTTTTTTTTTTTTTTTTAGGAGACAGGGATTCTCTGTATTGTTTCGGAGGCTATCGGTCCAGCCCGGCCTCCTCCTTATCTTCTTTTCCATTTTTTCTTCTTCTGGTTTTTCAAGACAGGGTTTCTCTGTATAGCTTTGGAGCCTGTCCTAGAGATCACTCTGGAGACCAAGCTGACCTCCAATTCAGAGAGATCCACCTGTTTCTGCCTCCTGAATACTGGGGTTAAAGGTGCGTGCCACCACCACCTGGCCTATCTTTTCCATCTTTTTAGAAAGCAAACTTGCTGCCTTGCATGACTTTGGGATTGATCTCACTGGGATAATAGGAAATGAAGAAAAGACAGAAAAGCTGTGATCATATGGGTAGTGGGCTCTGCTGGAGGCATACCAGCAGCAATCCAGAAACACATTGCTGATTGTTTACCACCAGAATAGGGAGGAGGCAAGCCAGCTAATTTGGTAGGTGTGTGTGTGTGTGTGTGTGTGTGTGTGTGTGTGTGTGTGTGTGTGTGTGTGTGTGTCCAGGGTAGGAGACTCAGGCTGTAGTAATTCTGGAGGAGGAAACCTCAGGGGATACTCCATGCATACACTGTTAACAGCAGTGAAAAGACCAGAGGAAGGCCTTGCCAGTTCCGTGTGTTTGAAGCACTGGGTCCTTGACATGGCTATGCCCATGCAATAGCATACATTCACAGAAGACATCATCTGCTCTCTCTACAGAATTATCTAATTTATTATTGCTGTTATTGGTAGTGGTGGTGGTGGTGGTGGTTTGTGCTGGTACACACATGCCATGGTGAGCATGTTGCAGCCAGGGGACCACATTTGTGGGTCAGTTCTGTCCTTCCACCTAGAGTTTAAGGAATTGAACTCAGGTCATCGGATTTGTATTGTAAGTGATGCTAAGCCAGCTTTTGTCACCCTTTCCTTTCTTTCTGCTAGTGTGTTAACTATACTGCCGTCAGTAGTTAACCCACTGTGGTGACAGCTCAGAGAGACTGGAGAGTTTTATACAAGATGTAGATGTGGTGAATTGCTGAGGAGCAGTGTTGCCCATAGACAAGGCATATAGGCAGGTGAGGCAGAAGGACAAAATGCCCAGTGACACCATCAGTCTCCATGTTCCAAACAAGTCTATTTCCGATTTCAAATGAGGCTTTGTCTTGGCATGATTTTCTTCTTGTCTTCGTCTCAGAAGTGCTTTCTTTGATTTTTGCATGGTCATTTCATTTTGTCTTGTTTAGTAGCATCTTTTGCAGTTTTAGAAGAGAGAAAATGTGTAGTCATATCCTGAGACCTGTTTCCTCTGATCAATTAGTTTTAAATAACTTCTATAAGTGCCAGCACAGTCAGCTATTTGTCCATTACTTGGAGGCTTCCACATTAAAAAAAATCCCAGTTAATTTAAACAGAACACCAACCTAAATCCTGGATCTGTTATTAGTATGTTTAGGTATTTGAACAGGAGTGGGTATTCTGCCTCTGGAAGGTTGGAGCTGGAAAATGCTTTCAGTCTACAGTGATCACATGCCTCAAACTTTAGTGTGACTACGACCCATCTGTTAACAGTGCAGATTTTGAGTCAGATGGTGGCGGCATGCGCCTTTAATCTCAGCACATGGGAGACAGAGCCAGGCAGATGATATGCATGAGTTCGAGACCAATAGAGCAAGTTCCAGGACAGCAAGGCTGCACAGAGAAACCCTGTCTCAAAAAAACAAAACAAAAAACAAGAATACAGATTTAGACTCAAGAAGTGGGAACAGGATTAAGATTCTGAATTTTAATTAATTTATTTACTTTTTCTTTTTTGGTGCTGGGGATTGAACATGCTAGAAAAGCATACTGCCACTGAGTTTATAAACTACATTTTGGGTAGCAAAGTACTAAGATACAACTAATAATACTTAAATGCCCTTAGTTATACATAGCAAATCCAAGTGTTTAAAAGTAGTGTGTCAAGCTTGTTTCTAATTTAAATAAAAAATTTAAAAAACGGTAGTGTGTGTGTCCAAGTGAGTGCTTTAATGGTGTGTTATACATGGGTTCCTAATCTGTGTACTATTATATTAGATCATTCATTTCTGTCCACCATGGTATTCTTATGAATTTCACTGAAGTCAATTCTTTTAGGTCATTTTTTTTGGTCCTAGGATGTCCTGAGGCGTGGTTGCTGGGAGCAGTGTCTACTACATAAGCCCATTTAGCGACTACAATGTTGAGCAGTGGAGGAAGGTAGATCCTAAGAGCTTGGTGAACAGCCAGTCTAACAGGTAAGTTTTCAGTTGTGTGTAAGAACCTATCTTAAGGCAATAAGGCAGATAGCTAGAAAAGACATCTGCTATCCTTCAGTGGCCCACATGCTTATCAATGGGTATATCTCACACTCGTATGCATGGTCCCCACCATATAAGACACAGACACACACACACACACACACACACACACACACACACACAGAGAGAGAGAGAGAGAGAGAGAGAGAGAGAGAGAGAGAGAGAGAGAGAGAGAGAGAGAGAGGTTAAAAAAGTAGAATTGGTACCTGACTCACCAATGTGATGGATGCAGTATTTTTCCTTTGCATTTGTGGCTTTTGTCACACTTCAAAAGGCATCAGAATAAGTGCTGAGAGTACACAGTTTCTCCAGAGTGTGCCACATGCCTGAATGACGCGCATTAAGATTCAGGCAGCAAGAGGCATTCTCTTTAAAGTCAAGAGGAGGATTATTTTGGTCTTACTAGTTTTCTTTTTCTTTTTTTGTCTCTAAACATCTGTGACTCTCTCAGGATTGTGCTGTGCACTAAAAATAGAGCTACAGCTTATGAGTCACCGTGTTTTCATGGAGGCAGGGCTGCAGATTCTAGGGAAGGATCAGTGGCATGTTGTAAGAATGGTAATAAAGTTGCTCCATCTGAAATGAATTCTGAGCAGGATCATAGGTACGTGCGCATGCCACAATTATCAACCATAAGCAGGAAGCTCAGACTTCTTCCTGATGTTACATATTCTGAGGTGATGCTACTTGCATGCCTGGGGTTGTGGTTGCTAGGACCAGTTTCCACTAGATAAACCCATTTGGTCACTTATCTCTTACTGTAAAGAAAAGCTAGTAACTTTTAGGAATAAAGGTGAACAATCAGTATATGAAATCACCATTCTACATGATTTCATTATTTAAATTCAGAAGAAAAGCAATTGAAGCACTGCAGCCATATTCTAAGTTCAGGATTAATTTACCTGTATAGGTATTTAGGCTGTGTAGTAGTTTGAATGCAATTTGCCCCCATAAGCTCATAGGGAATGAAACTATTAGGAGGTGGGGCTTTGTTGGAGAAAATGTGTCACTGTGGAGATGGGCTTTGCGGTCTCATATATGCTCAAGCCACACCCAGTGTCTCAGTTCACTTCCTTTTGCCTCTGGATCAAAATGTAGGGCTCTCAGCTTCTTTTCTAGCACCATGTCTGCCTGTATGCTACCCTGTCCCACTATGATGACAATGGACTGAGTCTTTGAACTGTAAGCCAGCCACAATTAAATGTTTTCCTTTCTAAACGTTGCCTTGGGCATGGTGTCTCTTACTGCAACAGAGACCCTAATTAAGACGGACTGTAAAGCAAATAAGAAGTAGAAAACAATTTCAGTGTTGTATCTCTACAGGCCTCTTTGTTTGTCTGGAACCTCTTTGTGGATTCTGCCTATTGAGCTGTTTGGTACAGATGCTTGCAGGAAAAACAGTCTGTACTGAGTTCATGTTTAAAATAAGTCAGCAGGCCATATGCCCTCTAAGCAGTCTCATTCAATACAGTGTTTTGCAAATCCTCAGAGCAGCTCAGTCACTATTGTGGGAAAGAATATGTGAACCTAGGTGTCTGCCAGCACAAGGCTCTGAAGAGAACAACAACACACGTCTCCTGTGGGAAACTTGTCTCACATTCCAGGATTTTAGTTCATCTTTAGAAATTAGAGTGTCCATGAAGGTTCAGGCATTAAATTTTTTTTTCCACAGGAAAATACAAAAAGGCTTTCAAAGCATAGTCCACTTAAAAGTATGCAAGCTGAAACTGACTTGGAGGTTGTGTCCAGACAGCGCCAAAAGTATAGCTCTAGTACTATGCATTTGAAATACTGAATTAAACATTTAAACTACATATTAAAATATTATAATCATTAAATTGGAAAGCAGTGAAGACAGGAATCATAAATAATTTGCTGAATGATGGAAGTAATATTTGAATGATCCTGGTTAGATGGAGTGAAAGGTGAAAGGTCAAGTTTAAAGAACTAAACTCCCTAATGTAAAGTGCTTCATTAAAATGTTTTTTGCTCATTTTTATTTACATGTATGTGTGTGCTCCTCCTTGTCTGTATATGTATCAAGTATATGTGCTCATTGCCTAAGGAAGCCAGAAGATGTTGTTAGATACTCTTGGTTGTGAGCCACCTGATATGGGTTCTGGGAACCACACTTGAGTCCTCTGAAAGAGCAGGAAATGCTCTTCACCGCTGATCCATCTCTCCAGGATCCAAGTGCTCACATTTCTAACAGTGATCAAATAACAGCCACCACGTTGGTGTATAGTATAGCACATATGAAAACATACAAGGGTTAATTTAAAACACATTGACAATATGATGTTATGAACCTCTCTAATATCAAACCCCAAGCCCCAATGAGGTCATTGGTCGAATCACAAAGGAAGTCATATCCTCTCTTACCCATAAAACTTACATGATTGATTGCACTTATTTCCAGTCATCAAATATGAAAATTACTGGTCAACTGCAGTATTTTTAGAAGAGAAAGAGAGTAAATTGAAGGAAGCCACATCATTGAGATATAGTTGACAGAATGAAAAATGTAATAAATGTAAAAGAGAAAAATGGGTAGATTGCATTGCATCTGTTTTAAAATTTTTTTCTTTAAAATTATATATACATACCTGGAAAAATTTAAATATATACTTATATAATACATATATGCATATTTTCAAGACAGGGTTTCTCTGTGTAATCCTGGCTGCCCTGGGTCTGTAGACCAGGCTGGTCTCAAACTCTGAGATACACCTGCCTCTGCCTCCCAAGTGCTGGGATTAAAGGTGTGCACTTAAACTTAATATATTTTTAAAAGACTTTAATTTCATTTTATGTCAGTATTTTTCCTGCATGCCTGCAAGGAGCTTAAAGAATCTAGAAAGGGTGTTGAATCCCCTGGACCTGGGTTTATCTTTAAACACCTGTGACTTTCTCAGGATTGTGTTGTATATTATGTACGTGCTGAGCATTGAATCTGAGTCCTCTGCCAGAGCAGCTAGTACTCTTAACCCCTGAGCTGTCCTTCCAGTCTATAATTGTATCTTAAATAGGTAGATTGTTTTATCCGAACACTGTAGTTATTCCTAGTAAGCCTCAGAGGCATTGGCAGAAGAACGAGAGTGTCACGGGATACTGTGGTTCAAAAGTTATCTGAAATGGGGGCATTTCCTTAGGGGTATCATGAAAAGTTCAAGTACTCACGAAAAGACTTGTCAACCACATATCTAGGTTCTTGTGGGAAATACTGTATATTTAATGTTTTCTCCTATTGTTAGTGATCATCTTTAAGGACATCATGGTACAATCAACAGCGGATACAAGGTAAGTACTGGGAATCAGGGAGGAAAAATGTGAGGAAGAGAAATCATCTCAACAAGGGAGTTGAACAAAACTTTGCTATATCCTTGTTGCTAAGCATCAACCCGTGTGGCAGGTAGGGGAAAGCAAAGGGGAGAGGGTTCTTTGCATGTTTACACATTGTAGGTTTTTGTGTTAATTGCCGTGTACTAAAAGAAGCTTCCTTGATGAGGGTTGAGAGATGTATTGATCTATGAGTATAGCAATAGGAGTAGTTTTAATATTATGTTCATTTGGTAGAATAACAGTAGTATGTTTCCCCTAGGATCTATGACCTATCTAGTCACAGGTTCTTGGTCTCATTAACAGTGCCAGGTGGGGTTCCATCTCATGGGGTGGGCCTTAAATCATAAAAGTGGTTGGTTACTCCCATAACAGTTGTGCCATTGTTTTGTGACTTGCAAGATTCATAACTGGGCCAAACTGGTGGTAACTTTTCTCTGGTAGCATGCCTAGCACCTTCCAGCACTATGAAAACTAGCCAGTAGGAATGAAGCTTCCAGGTTAGTATCAGCTTGATTTACCTATGTTCTATTTGTTGTTGTTGTTTTTGTTTTTCAAGACAGGGTTTCTTTGTATAGCTTTGGAACCTGTCCTGGCACTTGCTTTTCTTTAAAGTGATCTACTAAAAAGCATTGCATAATAAATTGCATTAGACCACTTTCTTTACAGTGAGTATTTCATGTGACAATTCATGAAGAAAACATAAATTTGTAGATAAAAGTGGAATACTCTGCTCATTTGCTAAGAATGAAGTTTAATAACCTAAAATAATTAAAAATTAAACACATACTATTAGCTACCAGCATTAGTGGTAGTGTTGCTTGTTATAATAGATGTGTGGGATGAAATTAGCAATAACTGTAAGCTGATGATACATTGGCTAAGTTGATATCTTGGGGAATATAGCTGAGTCTTTTGTGTCTTTCTAGGTTCTATAAATATGCAAGTTTTATGGCAACAAAGTCTATATTTGATACTTTTTTTAGTGGAAGATAAATGTTGAATAGACTTAATTTAGCAAAAGAACACTGCTTTCAAGATTGTGTTAAGGATTATATTTTCTTTGTCATTGCTTGCTTTTCTAAATCTAACCTATTTTTAAGTGAGGAGATTGTCAGCTTCACAGTAAGATGTGGATTCATGACTGGTATCTTTTGAATGCTTATTTCATTAAAAAATGAATACTTTTGTTCAAAACTCATTATGAAAATAACCTCTGATATCCCTTATACATTTCAAAAGGAATTTAATATCTTTTAGTATTTGACCTAGTATTTATGCATAATGTACTTTAAAAACATACTTTTTTTATGCAATGATCTCTCAGTTGGTGGGATGTTCTTGGCAATATGGTACTGGCAGGCTAAATTGGAGTGTTCTGGACCAAAGCTAATTTAGTAATTTTCTGTGGATTTGCTCACTGTTGCCCTTTTATAACTGTGGGAGGATTTTATTATTCACATAAAAGTTAAACTAAATGTAAAGCTAAACAAAACAAAACCAGATTTTCAGAAAATATTTCTTAGATCCTGACAAGTACATATTCCTATTAGTTGTGAAAGCTCGAAAGCCCTAATCCCCTGCTTCCCCTCTGAGCCCTGGCTTAGTTAGATATGAAAGATCTTATGGTTTTCTACATAAGAAATTGTTCTAATATTTGTTAAGAAAATACAGTGTTTCATTGGTTTTACGGGATTCAGAATTGACTATTATATTTTGTTTTGTGGTGTTGGAGACCAAATTCACAACATCTTGAATACTGGTTAAGCACTTTACCATAGAGCTGTATCTCCAGTCTCAATGTGCTAGTTTTAATATGGGATTGTAGACAACCATTGCCAGTCAGTGGGAACTACGTACCAATTCCAACCCTTCTGCTATCCTGGAGTTTCAGTGAATTTATAAATAGTCACCAGATTATCCAGAATTTTACTATAATGAAACAAGTTAAACATCTTGTCGGTTCCTAGTTATCAGGTACCAAATTCAATGTTATCACTGCATTAACATAATTGTCATAGCATTTACAACAGGTTATTCCCATTCACAGATAAGGAAGTCTTAGGCTCAAAAGAGTTGGGGGTAAACCAGCCCAAAGTTGAAGAGCTAATAAGTTGGTGATTCCAATATTTAGACTGCTTGGCTGCCAGAGGTCTGAATCATTGTCTGGTATAACATTTGTTTGATTTTGGTTTTTTTCACACATGTTTGGTGATGTGTCAATACAACTGTCTGTCTATTTGTGCCCAGGTACACTTGTGCAGTGATGCCTTGTTCCCTGAAAGAGGAATGGACAATCTCACACTTCTTGTCTTGTTTCTGTGAAATAAAGAAACTAACTAGAAAACACATTAAGATGATAACTCCTGATAGCCCAGCATTGGGAATTTGGCCCATCTTTCTTTTGAAATAATGTAAATTTTCCTAAAATATGAGAACATAACTGTCTTTAAGCACACATAATATTTCCTAACTTTAAAACAGTAGTCTATTAGTTATTCCAGGAGAGAGAGAGAGAGAGAGAGAGAGAGAGAGAGAGAGAGAGAGAGAGCGAGAGCTTAATCAGAATTAAACACTACTTTTTTTAAAACATGGATTGAGAACTGAACCACAAAGTACTGTGATGATAGTGTGTATAATAGTTGTGGAATAATTAATCCATGAAGAAAAACAACTGTTAATGTTCTGCTTAATATTTCATTGTCACGATTAAAAATTCTACAGGAAGTCAGTTGATTATTTTATCTTCCTAGAAAGGTACTGGATGCTCAGAATTGCTTACTAATTTTCAAATTCCTATCAAATAATGAAGACTTCTTCTAAAGATTTAAAATTTCATTTATATTTCAGATGAAGTCATTTGATATTTTAAAAAATTTAAAATCTCTCCAATTAATGTTGACTGAAATTTTGGGGTATTAGACTTACAGAATTTAAAATATCCATGCAAAACATCATAATTCTGTGTAACAGAGTCTTTCTGTGTGAACTGTTGTTTCTTTTTTGTGTGTGATATTACTGAGTTGTTAGACGAAAATGGAAAAGCATTGCATGACCCAATTTTCGCCTATTAATAACCCTTATTTGGCCCTTTCCCTTTTCTGTTTTATAAGTTTTGAGCTTTTCAATCTAGCCTTTATTTTTCTCTTGATGCTAATTAATGAGAGTCTGGTACCAGTGGTAACACTGCAGGGCCCTCTAACTGCTGATGGAAATCTCAGCAAGACGGCTGGAACACCCCTCTTTATTTCTGCAAAAACACTGGAACAACTTTATGTCTGTCTTAAAACCATCTTTGGAAATTTTATTTCTAACAAAGGAGTTTTGTAAGATGCACAGATTCTGAGCATTGCTGCTCTGCTCTGGGAAAGAAACCTGCAACCTCTAAAACATTTGCGATTCACTTGCTTGTCTTACCTGGGAATATTGCTTAAACTAACTTTCTGTTTTTGTTTTCTTTTCTGAATGGTAAAAAATATTTAAATGTTAAAAAGCTTAATGCATAAGTCACGGGGATTTATTGACATTTCCCTTATCTCTTGCATGCTGAGAGCAGGGGAAATAAGGCGTGCTGAATCTTTTATTTGATTGAAAAGCTTGAAAGCCTAACCTATTTGATTGGAACTGTGTGCTAAATTTATATAAGGGCTCTTGGGAAAGGACTATGACATATGCCATTCCTGAAGAATACATAGAAAATAGAAAAGACATTTGTCATTTGGTTGGTCTCCGGGACTGAGACATAGTTTGCCAGAAATTACTTCTTTGAGTAAATGAGGCTGCTAAACACTTAGCAAAAACCCTTATTTCATGTCAGGTCAGCCAGAGACAAACAGCTGTGAAGCAGAGGCAGATGCAAGCCTGGAGGTCCTTGTGTAGATGGGATCCTGGATGTTGATCCATTGCCGGCCGAAGGTGCTCTACGTCCCTCCTTGGGTATCACTGGCATTTGGAAGAATACTATTGTCTAAAATTATTATCTCTGCTTTTCTTTCCACCCCCTATCACCAACTATCTTCCTTTTTATTTGTAGAGTGGCTGTATATTATCTCACCTTAACCTTTGAGGATTTTTTTTTTTACCTTTGAGGAATTCTTAATTCTTGTAAAGAAACATCTCCGTTTATTCTGATTGTATTCTTCTTTTGATTGAGGCATATCTGGCTTTGGACTTGCTTTGAAACAACATGAACCCACTTCTCTTTGCATACTAGGATTATGGGCATGTGCCAACCTTCCCTGTTCTCATTCTGATTAGAGTTTCCCTTTCTATTCCCATAAGCCACTGGGAAAGCAAAATTTAAAGCAGAAAATCTTCCATAAGAGAATGATAACATTCCCCCTTTGTCCCTTGAGATTTTAATAAATCATAAATCCACAGATTTGACTGTTTGTGAGCTTAACGTGGGTAACTGTAGGTTGGACGTTCTGAAGCAGAAAACCCTGGATGCACTGTGTTTTGTCATGTACTATCCAATATGTAAATATCAGTTTTGCCCCCTTACTAGATAATAGAAGTCAGAAAGAAAGACCATAATTTTAGACTGTTACGTTGTGCTTTTCCATGACAACTCAAGTTATCATCTTTATTTCTCAAAAAAAAAAAAAAGAAAATGAAGTAGAGTCTTGAAATATAATACAATGTAGCCTTGAACCCGCAATCCTCCAGCCACCGCCTCGCCGGTGTTAGGATGTGCACCACTACCCCCAGAAATATTTTAATTTTTTTCCAAAAATATTGTTTGTAAGAAGTAGAAAGTGGTTCCTCCGGCAGCATCAGGTAAACAGGCTGGCTTCCCGGCCTGTGTTCCAGTGCCTGCAGATCGCCTGGGAACTGCACAGAGCTCCCAATCCCGATGGGAGCCAAACACCCCAGACTCCAGATCTTCTCTCCCACCAACGAGACCAGGAAATCAGAGGGGGCAGGGAGACCAGGGGAGTAGCTGTTCTGGATCAGGTACAACAGGACCCAGCTTAGGGTCCAGGGGACCAGGTAGGAGGCTAAGCGCCCCAGATTCCTCTTCTTCTTCTCCACCCACGGGACCAGCATTTGGACAAGGAATAGAAGAACCACCAGATTATTGGACTTGATAGCACCCACCAAAAGGGAACTCTGGTACCCAGACCAGTAAGGGGCTCTTTCTGCACCTACTAGAAGAAGAGATGGGAAAGAGACAATACAAAAACACAGTCAGCAACAGAAAAACAAATATGACACCGCCAGATTCTAGAGACTCCACACCAGCAAGACCCCAACATTCCAATGCGAATGAAGCAGAAGAGAACGACCTTAAAAGCACTTTCATGAAAATGATAGAGGTCCTAAAAGAGGATATAGGAAAATCCCTCAAAGAAATGGAAGAAAAAACAAACCAAAAAATGCAAGAAATGGAAGAAAAAACAAACCAAAAAATGCAAGAATTGGAAGAAAAAACAAACCAAAAAAGGCAGGAAATGGAAGAAGAAATGAAGCAAAAAATGCAAGAATTGGAAGAAGAAACATACCAAAAAAGGCAGGAAATGGAAGAAGAAACAAAGCAAAAAATGCAAGAAATGGTAGAAAAAACAAAGCAAAAAATGAAAAAAATGGAAGAAGAAACAAACCAAAAAAGGCAGGAAATGGAAGAAGAAACAAAGCACAAAATGCGAGAAATGGAACAAAAAGCAAACCAAAAAATGCAAGAAATGGAAGAAGGAACAAACCAAAAAATTCATAATAGGCAACAAACGGACGAAAAGATAAACAGAAAATTGCAAGAAGCAATGCAAACACTGCAAGGGTTGAAAACTGAAATAGAGACATTAAAAAAAACACAATCTGAAGAAAGGCAGAAAATAGAAAAGCTGGACAAACAGTCAGGCACTACCAATACAAGCATTACCAACAGAACAGAAGAGATGGAAGAGAGAATGTCAAGTGTTGAAGATACACTAGGAGAAATGGATTTATCAACCAAAGAAAACCTTAAATCCAACAAATCCTTAACACAAAACATCCAGGAAATATGGGACACCATGAAAAGACCAAACCTAAGAATAATAGGTATAGAAGAAGGAGAAGAAATCCACCTCAAAGGGGCAGAAGGCATATTCAACAAAATCATAGAAGAAAACTTTCCCAACCTTAAGAAAGACATGCCAATGAAGATACAAGAAGCCTACAGAACACCAAATAGAGTGGACCACAAAAAAAATCCCCTCGCCACATAATAATCAAGACCCCAAACATACAGAATAAAGAAAGAATATTAAGAGCAGCTAAGGAAAAAGGTCAAGTAACATATAAAGGCAGACCTATCAGAATTACACCTGATTTCTCCATGGAAACTCTGAAAGCCAGAAGGTCCTGGATAGATATTCTACCTACACTAAGAGACCATGGATGCCAGCCCAGACTACTATACCCGGCAAATCTCTCAATCACTATAGACGGGGAAAACAAGATATTCTATGACAAAACTAGATTCAAGCAATATGTGTCCTCTAACCCAGCCCTACAGAAAATTTTGGAAGGAAAACTACAACCCAAGGAAGCTAACTACAACCAGAAAAACATAAGCATTAGAGAATCCCTCTCTACCAACAGCCAAAAGAACAAAGGGGTGAAATTCCACACATAATTCCACCAACAACAACCATCACAAATCGAAGAAGGATGAGCAATCAATGGTCATTAATATCCCTCAATATTAATGGCCTTAACTCACCCATAAAAAGACACAGACTAGCAGAATGGATTCGAAGACAGAACCCTTCCTTCTGCTGCATACAAGAAACACACCTCACCCTCAAAGACAGACATTACCTGAGAGTTAAAGGTTGGGAAAAAAATTTTCAATCAAATGGACCCAAGAAACAAGCAGGGGTAGCAATCCTAATATCTAACAAACTAGACTTTAAAATAAAATCAATCAAAAGAGATGAAGGAGGTCATTACATACTCATCACAGGTGAAACCCACCAAGATGAAGTGTCTATCCTGAACATCTATGCCCCAAATACAAAGGCATCCACATTCGTTAAAGAAACATTATTAGAACTTAAATCTCATCTAAAGCCCCACACAGTTATAGTGGGAGATTTCAACACACCACTCTCACCACTAGACAGGAATACCAGACAGAAACTCAACAAAGAAGCAAAGGGTCTAATAGAAGTAATGACCCAACTGGGATTAACAGATATCTATAGAACATTTCATCCACATAAAAAAGAATATACCTTCTTCTCACCACCACATGGAACCTTCTCAAAAATCGACCACATACTTGGCAACATATCAAACCTCAGCAGCTACAAAAAAATTGGAATCACCCCATGCATCTTATCAGACCACCATGCTTTAACATTAGAATTCAACAACAACACAAATTGCAGAAAACCTACAAACTCATGGAAATTGAATAATGCTCAACTGCACCATCCCTGGGTCAAAGAGGAAATAAAAAAGAAATTAAAGACTTCCTCGAATTCAATGAGAATGAAGACACAACATACCCAAACCTATGGGACACTTTGAAAGCAGTGCTACAGGGGAAGTTCATAGCACTAAGTGCTCACATGAAGAAACAGGAAAACAGTTATACCAGAGAATTAACATCACAGCTGAAAGCTCTAGAACACAAAGAAGCAAACTCCCCCAGGAAGAGCAGACGCCAGGAAATAATCAAATTGAGGGCTGAAATCAATAAAGTAGAAACCAGGAAAACAATACAAAGAATCAATGCAACGAAGAGTTGGTTCTTTGAGAAAATCAACAAGATAGACAAACCTTTGTCCAAACTTACCAAACAGCAGAGAGTGAACACGCAAATTAACAAAATCAGAAATGAAAAGGGGGACATAACAACAGACTCTGAGGAAATCCAGAGAATCATTAGGTCATACTTTGAAAACCTGTACTCCACAAAATTCGAAAATTTAAAAGAAATGGATGACTTCCTGGACAGCTATCATTTGCTAAAACTAAATCAAGAACAGATAAGCAATTTAAATAGACCTATAACCCCTATGGAAATAGAAGCTGTCATCAAAAGTCTCCCAACCAAAAAAAGTCCAGGTCCAGATGGCCTCAGTGCAGAATTCTACCAGAAATTCAAAGAACAGCTTATACCAATTCTTCTCAAAGTGTTCCACACAATAGAAGCAGAAGGGTCTTTGCCAAACTCTTTCTATGAGGCTTCAATAACCTTGATCCCCAAGCCACACAAAGATACAATTAAGAAAGAGAACTTCAGACCAATATCCCTCATGAACATTGATGCAAAAATACTCAATAAAATACTGGCAAATCGGATCCAAGAACACATCAAAACAATCATTCACCACGATCAAGTAGGTTTCACCCCAGGGATGCAGGGATGGTTCAACATACGAAAATCCATCAACGTAATCCACCATATAAACAAGCTGAAAAACAAAAATCACATGATCATCTCACTAGATGCTGAAAAAGCCTTTGACAAAATCCAACACCCCTTCATGATAAAGGTCTTGGAGAGATCTGGTATAACAGGGACATACTTAAACATAATAAAAGCTATATACAGTAAACCAACAGCCAACATCAAACTAAATGGACAGAAACTCAATGCAATTCCTCTAAAATCAGGAACAAAACAAGGCTGTCCACTCTCTCCATACCTTTTCAACATGGTACTTGAAGTTCTAGCTATTGCCATACGACAACAAAGGGGGATCAGGGGGATACAAATTGGGAAAGAAGACGTCAAACTTTCACTGTTTGCAGACGATATAATAGTTTACATCATTGACCCAAAGAACTCTACCAGGGAACTCTTACAGCTGATTAACACCTTCAGCAAAGTGGCAGGCTACAAGATCAACTCAAGAAAATCATTAGCCCTACTATATACAGATGATAAAAGGGCCAAAAGAGAAATCAGAGAAACATCACCCTTTACAATTGCCACAAACAACATAAAATACCTTGGGGTAACGCTAACCAAACAAGTGAAAGACCTGTATCGTAAGTACTTTGAATCTTTAAAGAAAGAAATTAAAGAAGCCCTCAGAAAATGGAAAGATCTCCCATGCTCTTGGATAGGTAGGATCAATGTAGTAAAAATGGCAATCCTGCCAAAAGCAATCTACAGATTCAGTGCAATCCCCATTAAAATCCCAGCACAATTCTTCACAGACCTTGAAAGAACAATAATCAATTTTGTATGGAAAAACAAAAGACCCAGGATAGCCAAAACAACCCTGTTCAACAAGGCAACGTCCAGAGGCATTACCATCCCTGACCTCAAGCTCTATTACAGAGCTATAGTCCTGAAAACAGCTTGGTATTGGCACAAAAATAGACAGGTAGACCAATGGAATCGAATTGAAAACCCGGGTATTAACCCACACACGTACG